TTTTTAGTTTTGTTTTGTATTCTACCTTCAGAAAAACATAAAATAATTTACATTTCCTAAAATTAATTTTGTTTATGCTATCGGAGAGGAAACGCTTATTATAAAATTGATTATAATACCAAGACAATTATATATAACGATTTCAGATGGTACGACGGCTTTTTTATGTTAATGCTGAATGGAAAAGTCTATAAGCATATTGCGGACAAGATAATGCCTAATCAGTATACAGCCACGAAAAAGAAAGATATGCGCATGGCAGGGAAATTAGCGCTATTCACAGGCTTTGTAAGCATATTTAGTAACAACGAGGATTCTTTGAATTGAGCTCTGTCTTAAAATCGTATCAATTGAAGTGAATCCACTGCTGAGTGCTGAAATTATACGATTTTATCCGTCACAACGAATAGACCAAGAAGAATGCTTTTTCCAGTCGAAAGTTCCAGTGGTTTCGAATGTTGCTGACGTATCTATTTCGTTGCAAATGTACCATTGTGAAATGATGATCGGTAGTAAATGAGAGATATGTGAATTCAAAATATGTACATTACTTAACCTTTCATCTGATTTTTTAATTTTAGTAGTGACAATGTCCGAATTATTTTGCGTTAGTATTCCTGTGTAAAAAAATATGACGATTATACGATTATATTACAATATATCTGAAAAATGTTAGAAAATGAAACAATTGTTTAAAGGTATCCTGTATAGCATCTATTTGCTTCGCCTGTATGGAATGTTAATAAGGCGTAAGATAATATAATCATTAATGTAATATTTCTTAAATGTATATTTCATACTTAATTTTATTTCATAATTACTATCACATTTATTCCTATGAATCGTTTACATTTATTACGCTATTATGAGGTAGGATGTGTAAATTATTACCGTTCCATTCAAATGTAGCTTTTATAGTATTACTTATCGTATCGATACCTTAAGCTGTTTATAAAAAAGTAAAAAGTATTTTAAGACGAAAGAAAGATATAGGGATAGAAATATAAAAATATTTATTATATTGCAAATATATTTTTTATATATTAGTTTTTTATATACACTACCGCTCATTAATTTTAATATACAACAGATTTGTTGATTTCTCTGTAAAGGATGAACATCATGATACGTGTTTTGCACAGAAATGAATGCACTTGCTGTTATAAATATTTCACTTGCATGCATCGCATCTTTATATAAATAATATATAAAATTGCAATGCATGCAAGTGTTGAAGGTGTTTATAACAGCAAATGTATTTAACCGAACTCGAAATCAGTATAAGATAAATCAAAGGACTGCAACGTTGAAAGTTCTTATGACTTGTGTGTGGTTGCTGCACTTTTACAAATTCCACAACTTCTTCACAGTCTGCGCGTAAAAATCAACGTGGCACATTAAGTTGTAAAGTTATACGTTTGCCTTCTATGAAGTTTTTTTGTCTGCATTATAACGACTAATTTGTTTGAATTTATATAGAAAAAAAGATCACCCGAAACTATATCTTTGGGTCAAGGTTCGATTGATCCCGCTGGAAACTGGGAATCTATAGTTAACGTGACGTACACTATAGATTTTTAGTATTGGCAATCTATAGTTTACGCCACATACACTATACATCTTCGGTCCTAGCGGGAGAAACCAAACGTATGTCAAATAATTACGACAAAATGATGTAAATATCTACATATTATTACTGTAAGCGTATGGAATATAATTTATTTACTTGAAAAATACTGTATATTTCAAGAGATTATTTTATTAAATCAAATTATCCAACATCCATTTAATCTTCTGTTGCAAAACTTAATTGCATATTGAAATTTAAAAATGTATACCATATATTTCAAAGATTTGTGCAAAAATGAAATAAGCATAAAGCGGGGAGCACACACTTCTGTATAACGCATAATGCGTAAGCATAAGAAAATTGATTGGTTTAAGCGGGGAGCACACACTTCTGCACAACGCATAATCCGTAAAGGCCATCGCACACAAAATGCATAGCTTAACATAAGCGTAGCATAAGACCGCTGGACCAATGAGCATCTTATGTAAATCAATATGGCAACTTTATGCTGGATGCTCATTGGTTTAGCGGTCTTATGCTATGCTTATGCTAAGCTATGCATTTTGTGTGCGATGGCCTTAAGCATAAGAAAATTGATTGGTCCATGCACATGTGCATAAGAAAATAGACCAATCAGTTTTCTTATGCTTACGTATTATGCGTTATGCAGAAGTGTGTGCTCCCCGCTTTAAGTCAATCCAGACGAACTTGCATAACGCATAAACATAAGCATAAGAGATTTGATCGGTCCATATGCATGTGCATAAGGAAATAGACCAATCCGTTTCTTTATGCATATGGTTATGTACCTATGCAAGTTTGTCTGGATAGACTTTTTATTTTCTTATGCACATGTGTATGGACCAATCAATTTTCTTATGCTCACGCATTATGCGTTATGCAGCGGGGTCAATCATGAATCTTTTCCCCTAGGGTGGAAACGTGAAAAATGAAAAATCTCTCTTTCTATTGATGTTAAATAGAAAGAGATAGTCATATAAAACTTTTCACTTTCCACGTTCCACATTAATACATGATTAAGTGTGTGCTCCCCGCTTAACCATCGATATGTAATCTTCCATGAACTGCACATGCGCGCATAGACAAAGACAGCAGGGGCCCATATGCAGCGCTCTCTTTCTATTCCTCTATCGCTTTTTTAGCTTGTTTGCATACTCTATTCATGCTCTATTCTTATATCTCTATGGTTCGTAGTCGCTATATCTTGTCAATATGACAGGTCTCATAATAAGATAGTCGTCAAACTCGTCAACTTTAACTGTTAATATCTCGCTTTGCGGGGCAGAGCGACGCTTTTTTCTGCCAGATTTTTTTGTTTCACGCAAAAACGCGTTGATTAAGCCTAAGTTCAACGAAATCGGTGAGGAGGCATCTATTCTGCACATTTACCAAAAATAGATAGCATTACAAATAAAAGTAATGTACGTATATTATATTGTGTGTAATATATATTAAGTGTTTTCTATTTACATAAAAAAACTCAGATAATTCTCACTTGTAACGTCGTTCTATCCTTTTTGGCAATTAATGAATAATAAAGACAGAATCGAATTATCTGTTACAAATTAGAATTATCTGAGTTTTGATGTAAATATTGTAAATGAAAAGCTTCTATTAATGTACTATTAATAATGTATATGTATATGTTACGGGTGAACTTCGCATGGTGTATAATGTCGAGCATTGCATCGAACAATTGCACATTGTTCGAGCAATGTTAGCATTAAATCACGTATTTATATATATATTATGACTCATATTCTTAATTTTCTTTTAGCGATAAAAAAGTGCGCTTTTATTGATAAAAAAGAGTTGAGAATATGGGTCTATGTATATTATACATAACCTGGCAATGTCGATATTGTATATTATGCAAACTTCGCTCGTAATACATTTTTTTTTGTTTATATGTCGCTTATTTAATAGCATGTAAAAAGAACATTAATCTCTTATTTGGTAATTAAAAGCAAAATGGCGAATAATCGCGATAAATCGATATATCAACCGTTATATATATATAAAAGGCAACATTATATATATATATAATGTTGCCTTTTTATATTTTATATTTATTAAGTTCAGTTAACAAAGCAAACATGTGTTAAATTTACATATGAATGTATTGATTACTTAACGCAACAACTTTAACCAGTTGCATAAAATCATTTCCTATTGTTCTTATTACATTTATATTATTTAATATACATAATCTGAAAAATTAGCTCTTATTATTAATATAAAAAAGTGTACAAATTAGAAACTTGCATATTGTTTTCTCATCATTTTAAAATGTGCAAATTAGAAATTTATATATTGCATCATTATTTTATTTCGCTCACTGATAAAGCTCTTCTATTGAGGAAGCTTATATTTTATTTGATACATAATTATTAATATTTATTAATTTGACTTCTTCATAAAGGAAGCTTTATGAGTGAAATAAAATGATGATGAAGCAATGTACAAATTTCTAATTTGCATACTTTAAAATGGTGAGAAAGCAATATGTAATTGATTTTGAGTCCATAATATTGTGATAGACATTGATTTTATATCTTAGTGTATGGAAATATTAATTATTCATGAAAGCAATAACAACAAAATAAATTTTGGTAAATTTTATGTTTGTATTCAGCAATCTCTAACATTTAAAAAAATAATTAAATTAATATGTTCTTCTCACACACAAAAAAGATTAGACTCTAAAAGGATTAATTAATATTTAATCTAAATATATCATAATAAAAATTATAATTGCAAAGTTTTCGGAAGTGGTAGACAAACCAGTTTATATTTATAATGCAAACTACCTCGAATTTTTATATTTCATTGTCAGTCATCAGAGAATTTTTTCTGCAGATATTTGAAGGCTGGCGGATAATGGATTTTTTCGTGATTGAGCGCATACACGATTCTCTATATTTAGATACTAACTTTTTGAACTCTGTTATATTGAGATTTTACTTTGGAGTATGGCAAACTTTTTGGTAATGAAGTTTTTAACAAGGTAAGATTATGCAATATAATTATAATTAAATTATTGTTTGGGAATATTATATATAACATTAACATAATTATTTTTTAAGGTAATTATAAAGGAGATAGACTTCCTTGCCGATTTGGCTGAAACTGTATAATTTTGTGTATTTTGGTGCGTAAAACATAAATCTGTAAGTTAAAACTGTTGTTCTCAATTTTTTAGAAAAAGCGGTATTAAATACTGAAATTGATTGTTGCATGGTTAGGATGTCTGTTACATTCACATGATCATCCGTAATGATGTAAGAGTGGAGTTATAGTAATAGTGCAGTATAACAGTAACTTCTCATAATAGTCTGGCGCCTTACTTTAATTGTGTGCTATTATTTGACTTTGTATTTATATAAACTCTTAATATACCAATTATTTTCTGCTTTAAAAAAGCCTTTTTTCTTTATTTCTATTATCTCTTTTAATCATATTGTTATACCAATTATTTTCTGTTTTAAAGCAGAAAATAATTGGTATATTGAAAAGTCTATATAAATACAAAGTAAAATAAATATAAAGTTAAATAATAAACATAATTAAAGTAAGGCGCCAGTCTATTATAGGGCGGGTTGCCGTTATACTGTATTATTACTATAATTTCATGCACTTTTACGTCACTACCCATGATCTTGTATGATACATCTACATTATGTTAGTATGATAGACATTCTAGCCACGCAGCTATCAATTTTAGTACTTAATAGCTTTTTTCCTAATTGAGAGTGACATTTTTAACTTACAGTTTCATGTTTTACGCACTAATAAAATACACAAAATTGTGAAGTTTCAGTCAAATCAGTGAGGAAGCCCTTCTCTTTCATAATTACCTTTTTTAAATTACATTTGGTAATAGTTTCTTAATTCTCCTTAACAAATTTTTAATATTACAAAGAATCATTTTAATCTCAAAGAATTAAAGAAGTAACAGTACAAAATAAACATATTTAATTAAAATAAAATAAAATAAATACATTTTTCTTGTAAAAAAACTTGGCGCTGCTAGACTTCAAAATTTAAACATTAGTAATAAGATTTTTGATTGAATAAAAAAACAATAAATATAATTTAGGGAAGAATGTGACAGGAGTAAAAAAGCAGCGCCGTTTTCTTATAAAAAAATTTATTTTTTTTAATTAAATATTTTTATTTTGTACTGTTACTTTTTTAATTCTTTGTGATTAAAATGATTCTTTGTAATATTAAAAATTTGTTAAGGAGAATTAAGAAGCTATTACCACTTGGGTTGGAATAGGAAGATCCTTATTGAATAGGAATACAAAGGTATCACTTAGGTTTTATTTTGTAGAAGTAATTGCACAACAATTATTTTTCAAAGCAATATACATATTCTCTTTGCAATTGGTGCAATTTAATTTAAAAATTTTACATTTCTTTTGAAATGCATGTCACTTGAGTTGAGTTAGGTAATATAATTTTGTAAAGGAGAAATAAAGTTACAACTTAGGTTGGATTTTTGAATTTACAAAATATATTGCGTGTACTTGGCATCTTTTTTTACCTTTTTTGAAAAAAGTAATTTTGTACTGTTTTAAGTAACTTTAATAATATACTCTTAATGTATGGATCTTGAATCATGGGCCACCTTGTATGTTATATTACATGATATATGTAGGAGTCAGCTAATATTATATAAAGTTATATATAGAGGAGTCGTATAAAATTATATATAATTATATAATAGCTTATACATAATTTTATATATTTCTCTATAATTTGATACATATAGTTTTTCTTATTTTTATTTTTTTTTATTATTTTATATATACTTGTAATATGTAGTATTTATTATGTAAAAATAAAAGTTTAGCATATATTTAGATACATATATATCTTTTTAAATATTTGTTTGTATAAAATAATCTTGAAATAAATAAAATATTTTTATAGAGAAATATTTTTATAGAAATATTTTTTTTCATTTTTAAAGATTTATACATTTTATTAAAAATATGTAAAATGCATTTAATCGCTGTTTTTTCAGCAGGGTACACATACTTTTTGTAGAACGTAACAATTGTGTTCCAAGTATTATGGAAAGTACAAGACAAAATATTGACACGGGTAATGATAACAGTGCTGTCACAATTGCATCAATAGAGGAAATGTTAATAGCTGCTGTGCAAGAACGTTCTCCCTTATGGAATTATAAAGATTTTTCAGCGTCACAACGCACAAAAGCAATTAAAGACAAACTGTGGCAAGAAATTGAGGATCTTCTCAATACTAACAAAGAAAAAAGTATATTGACTAATATATTTTATCTTATTAACTATATATTAATTGCGCAATAATTACCGCATGTGGCTCTCTCCTTATTTCCTATTTGATTTATTCAGGAGAGCCTATACTTACAAGGGAACCTCGCGAAGTGGAAAATTTTGACTTTAATGTAATTTTTCACACATGTAGGGGGAGTAAAAAGATGAATTTAGATATTTTTTGTAGCGGCCTAAAAACGGTTTTAAGGGGTGAAATCACCTCTCATATGTAGAGCGGTTTTTTGCTTTTCTCGATATACTTCGAAAAGTATTCGAGATATAAAAAAATGTTTCAAATAAAAGTTTTATGGTAAAATCTCCTCTATCCAACAACATTAATATAATATTTTTTAAAAATAATTTTTTAAACAAAATTTTTTTTTTTAATTTTTTTAATGTGGTTAAATAGAGATGTTTTTACCATAAAACTTTTATTTGAAACATTTTTTTATATCTCGAATACTTTTCGAAGTATATCGAGAAAAGCAAAAAACCGCTCTACATATGAGAGGTGGTTTCACCCCTTAAAACCGTTTTTGGGCCGCTACAAAAAATATCTAAATTCATCTTTTTACTCCCCCTACATGTGTGGAAAGTTATATTAAAATCAGAATTTTCCACTTCGCGAGGTTCCCTTGTTAGTTTATTATTAAAAAAAATTAATTGTGAACTTTGTTTTAGAGCAATACACTATCGCAGCATTAAAATCAAAATGGAAGAACTTATACGATACATATCGAACATATCTAATGAAAGAAAAAGGCAAAAGTGGACAAGCTGCAAAAAAAAGCAAACCATGGCGATTTATGGAGCAAATGAGTTTTTTAAAAGATACTTTTGATCTTGGAATTAAAAAGTAAGTAAATAATTAATAGTTTGAAAATAAAAAAGCAGTTCTAACAATATATACAACTATTATATTTTGCAATGTAGCACAGTCAGTAATTTAACGCTACCTACACCTACACCAGAAGACACTTCCTTCAACGATGATCTACATTCTGAACTCGGTAACCTCTCTAATTTTTCTGAGGATAATGAATTAAATAAAGGTTTGTATATTTTGTTATAAAAATATTGAAAAATTTCAATTAATTATAAACAAATAATTAAAATAAATGCATCTATAAAATTGACTTATATAACAATAACTTTTTTTTAGGCAACAAGAAACGGAAAGCCGATGATCCAATTGAAAGAATTGCAAAAGCGTTGAATGAACCTATTCCTCCTCCTCAAATCTTACAACAACCGCTCTTACCCATGCCTGAAATAAAAGAGAAGGATGAAATTTGTACTTTTTGTTTAACAATGGATAGAAAATTGCGAAAGTTACCTCTGAAAAAAGTAAATATAGCAATGTTTAAAATGTATGAACTTCTTTTTAAAATTGAAAATGAAGATAATTTTATGTAAGCAAACAATTGGTTTTTTTAAGTTTATCTATATATAACAACACTTATAGGAAAAACTCATACGTGTAAAATTTAGAAATATATACCTGTAGAAATATATATCTTTAGAAATATATACCCGTTCTCAAAACCTTGTAGTACATTTTATTTTCTCATAAGCAAAATATTTTTTATATAATTTACAATAAAAAAATTTAATTTTACAATTACATGACTGCTTTTTAATTTATTTACACATGTCAGTATATATTTTTATTTTAAATATTTTTTATAATTGAACATTTCAGTATATTGTATATTTTTACAGTATGATCGCTTTTTAATCTAGTTACATGTAAGCATATTGCCAATCTACAGCTCCATCGTTGTTAAAATAATAAAGAAATTTTTCTCGGACTTCTGCTGCTTGTCGAGTACTGGAGTTGTTTCCTGAGCGAGTTATATCTGCCATGCCACTTAAGGTCTCCATATCTGCTCTCCAACTTCCTGGTACGAAACCGTTTTCGTTCTGTCTGTCAATTAATTCTGGTGTTACATATTGAATATTTTCTTCTTCATTAAGGTCTGCCATGCGTAACCAATTGTGGAGGCATACGGTTGCTTGCACAATTTTCATTGTATTATCAACACTTAGAATAATAGGTTTTCTAAAAATCCGCCACCTATTTGCTAGAATACCAAAACTATTTTCAATTGTTCTTCTAGCCCTTGATAATCGATAATTGAATACGCGTTTTTCGTATTCAGTATTTTGTTTGCCCGGGTACGGTCTTAATAAATACGTTTTTAGTGGGAAAGCTTCATCTCCCACTAAACAATATGGCAGATTGTCTCCATTTTCAGAAATTGGTGCAGGCTTTGGTAGCTTCATTTCATTATTTTCAAATTTCTGACCAAATACGCTTTCCTTAAAGATTCCTCCATCGCTCCTTCGCCCATAAGCTCCAATATCAACAAATTGAAAAATATAATTGGCATCACATATAGCCAGAAGAACCACACTATGACTTCCTTTATAATTGTAGTAAGACGATCCTGCTTTGGCTGGACACTTAAAAGGAATAAAATATTTTCAGAATTTGTAAAAATTTATATGTATAAATATTATTCTATATCGTGAATAAATAATTTATCTTACTTGAATAATTATATGTTTACCGTCGATGGCACCTATACAGTGTGGAAAGTTCCATTTATCCGCGAAATTATTATGGCTACTGTTAGCCATTTGTCTTCACTCAAATCTGCAGGTAATACTATAGATGATAAATTGTTCCATAAAGCTTGACATGTTTCTGAGATAATGTTTGCAGCAGTAGTCAGACCAACTAAATACTGGTAACATATCGAAGAAATAGAATCGCCAGAAGCAAGATACCTAAACCAGGTTTATATTTTAAAATGCACAATACTTTACAATAAAAAATTATTAAATGATAAGAATTTGCAAATAAATTTGCATTTGTAAGCATGCTTACCTTAATGTCATTAATAAACGCTCAGCAACATCTATAGGTTCCCTAATGTGATGTTGCTTAAATATATCTGCTCCAATTAAAAGTGTCAAATTTTCAAATTGAGTTGCAGACATTCGTATGTAATTATGAAACCTCAAATCTTCTAGAATAAGTTTAGGTAGCACAGCATGAAAGAATCCATGTACTTTTCTTTCTTGAAAAATAGGTGCTACCCAATGTTTCTTTTTAGTATATCTTTTTCTTTTCATATGTAAAAGTAAAGCTGTAACTGCAGCAACTTTCCTTTTTCGTACATTCATTTGATAGTAATGATTTACTTGCACATAATTAAATAACCACTGCATTTGTTGGTTATACCAAGTAATCCAGTTTATAACTGAGTCGTCCTCCATTAAAAAGGATTTTAAAAAATTTTGTTATTAATTAATGATTTAATCTACAATATATTTAAAAGCACTTCAAAGCCCAAAACCATGTATGTCTAAAAAATATTTTAGCATATTCTAGTACTGTTGACACGCAACTACATACAGATGCGACGCTTACAAACAACTCGCGGCGAATTATTTGCTACTTCACAACGAATTATTCGCTATTCGCTAAAAATCATTCGCAGCGAAAAATTCGCTGCATGAAAAGGCACCTTAATGGAAGGCAGCAGTCCCATCAGTACTTTTTTTTTTTTTTTTTTTTTGTTTCCGTGGGAAGAAATGAAATGCCTCGCGCATTCAACCGGGGGCTGGCCACCCGGGATATGTGGGACTTGCACCCACTAAAACCCCTCTCCCTTAAACACAGCACGCTGAACTACAGTTGCGACACGCGGAACTACTAACAAGGCATGACATTGGAATCGGATGCTAGACGCTCCGTTCCAGCGTCGAGCGTGGAGAGCAGCAGCGGCGGCACCTGCCAGCTAATCGGCGTGCCAGCAGCGGCAGCCGTGGATCGAGGCATAGAGGACTCGACAAACGAGACCGTCGAGCAGGCCAATAAGAAGACGGACGAGTTGGAAGACTGGAGTTTTGAAAGCTTGGCGAGCACACAAATATTAGAGTCCATTCCTGAGGCAGTGGCGCAAGCCATCATTCTGACGGAGGGCTTATCACAGCCCGCTGGACAAAGCGAGGCATACAAGAAACTCACTCAGCCCGCTGGTCAAGGATAGGCAGGCGAGGACAACAACGACCAATCGAAAGGGACCGACCGAGCCGTGGAGGAAATACCGGTTCCGGACGATCAATAGCGTGCGGCGGAAGTATAAAGATCCGTGCGACGCGTTTATGTGTTTTATTTTATTATTTTTATCCAGTTTGATATAATATTACATAGTTTATCGAGTCGAAAACCCGAGGGTTAAGAAAGTTTTATTTCAACGAGTGCAATTGAGCAAAATAGATTTTAGAGTCAGTTTTATTTTGAAATACGACTTAATAGTCGGATGTACGCGGGAAAAGCGCGAGCGTTTTGCGAGAAGTATTTTATGTTTGAGCGCGGTAGCATGTAAGGCATGTCATTATTATTATTAAGTAAAACAGACGTACACACACACAAGCGAGATTAAAAAGATACTCGACCCAAACACACATCCTACCAATCCCACGTATCCTAAAAGAATTAAAGTAGCGTTCGAGTAAAGATAACGTCAGAGCCAATAAAGGGCCAATCACAGGCCAGACGACAGTTTTTTCAAATGGATTCGGATAAATTTCGGATTCTGGTATTGTCATTTATCTTTATATTATTTGCCATTTCAATAGTTTGCATACTGTTATTAGCATACTCACGAGTAGCGAAAGCAGAACCATATTACATACGTTAAAGTTAAAAGATTTACAAAATGCAGCTGAAAGAATATATAGTAGTCACCCTAATCATATTTGTTCCTATCATAATTAATTTCCCAGACGTACAAACCGTCAGCATGATATTTACCCTTTACACACTTTACATCCTACTATTGAGCCTCGAGATCGATCCGCGATTGGTTCCCGAGGACCCATAAACTATTGTGCATGCATTGCGACAGCGAGTGCCCGAGAGCACGAGCAAGGACCAATGGAGTCCTACCGAGAGTATTTTATATTCGATTAATCAATTTTAAGAAGTTTTGACAGCTCAAGCGAAATGTCGAGTCACAGCGACCAATGGGGAACGACCCAGATTTTACACAAGATTTTATTAATATAAGATATTACACAACATTTTCCATAGATTCGACCATTTCGGAGATTTTAGACAGTTTGAGAGCCAATAGGATTGATTCCTGGCAGTTTGATATTATTTTACATATTTTCCGATACATTCTTGATTTTACAAGGTGTTCGAGATTCCGTTAACGTTGCGCCGTCCGATCAGATGGCAGCATCGATCGGGTATCAACGCCCGACCACCGCGACAGCTGGCACACGCACGAGCGCGCTCATCGCCAACGTCTTCCTCGCGATATTCAGAGTCGTACAAATGGCCGCGCGGTGATCAGACGCACGACGTGTGCTCTGTGCATTTTTGATTGTGACTACACATTGAAGTGCCCACCGCAGTGATTACACCTGCCGAGATACTGCATTAACATGTAAAGCGACCGCTCATCCAGCTCTACTCGGGTACATCAACACGACGACTCAGGCTCACATGTGCGCGAGTGCCGACCGCCACGTGTCTTACCGGCTCACGGGCTAATCATCACGAGGAGGGCAGTTAATATAACTGCCTCGCCTACTCAAGATCGATATACAAAGACTTCTTATGTTTAGTGAACTCCAAAAGACTGCCCACCACTCTCAGGTCAGACTGTATATCTATTCTCGCATTAAAGACGGCTCAGACTGTGTTCTGAGTTACATTTTATATTACAGAATAATTAATTAACACCTTCCACGCGCGTCCTTCTCATCCCGCTTCCATCGCCGGGATTAATCAGCGATTTCGCGAACATTTGGTCCTTCGAGCCGGATGCGTGGAACTTAAAGAGTAGCTCGGACACAGATCATGTGAACAGGGCATGCCTTTCACGACATGCCACGTGGACATTATCGCGCGCTTCCGCGAGTGAAGTACAGACATTCTCACGCGCGTTCGCGAGTGTTACACAAACATGTTCACGCGCTCTCGCGAGTGTCATATAGACATCATCACGTGCTCAATACATGACCCTAACGACTCTCGATTCGCATAGTGTTTTTCTCACGCGTCTCTCGAACGTTCTCGGTTCGTGCAGCATTTCTTACACGTGTCTCGACATTTCTCAGGTATTTTATCGTGCGCAGCTCAGGGACGGCTCAACATGACGGAACCCGCAAAGGCGGGTACGGGCGGTACGGAGACCACGACGCCGCTGCTCGAGGTACCACCAGCTCGCACATCGGAACGCCAAGCCTCACCTGTGCGCTTGTCCAAGGAGCTCATCCTAAATGAACCGAATGGCGACGGTGCGGAATACTGGCGAGACGCCACCATCTTGTGCAAAGGACACGTCATTAGAGAAGATTTTCTACATCTCAATGCATCTCGAGAAGATGCATAAAGCGTTTCTCAAGGAGCACGCATATTTTGACGTTACTTGGCCGGCGGCGCTCATACAACATGAATGCTTAAAAACAATGTTCACTCCACGACGGAGCTATTACATGGCTGCACGTCGCGTTATTGCGTTATCAAGGGCGCATATCCAAATCATCGCAGTCCTCGCGTGACAATCAGCGGTTGCCGGACATCAACATCCCGTCGGTCAAGGGCAAGTACGCTGCATGGCCCACGTCTCGCGACCTATTCAAGGCCGTTATCTACGACAACCGACGCCTCACCGAAGTGGAAAACTTTCATTATCTGCAACTCTCACTTGAAGGCACACCCGCTCAGCTCATCTCCGGACACAACGCCCGCTCATGTAAAGGCTCACGGGGGTGCAAGAAGTGCACCAACCGACACCACACGATGCTGCATGAGGCTCATCAGTCGAGCTCATTAGCGAAGCCAACCACCAGCTCAACTGCGACAGCTCAATATGAAAATGGTGCAATCGTTGCTCACTTCTCTTTGGCCCGTTCACCACACTCAACATTACTCGCTACGGCCCGGGCTCAGATCAGCTCATCAATTAATACTCAGCGGGTACGGCTTCTCATCGATTCAGGTTCAGAACTTACATTTGTTTCAGAATCTCTCGTTCGTCAGCTCAACATTACTCGTCATCATTCCGTCATTCTCATTACCGGAATGGGTGGCGGAAAGTCCACGCAAAACTCGAGGAGTTGCATTGCTTACGCTCCACTCACTTCACTCAAGAACAGACGTCATTATTCAAGCTCACATTCATGTCTGTTAAGTTAGCACCCCTCCCCACAAAAAAACGGAATAACACATATGTAAAAATTAAGTGCTCTTTATGTGCTAATTATGTGCTCTATTCGCGATTTTTGTGCTCGAGCAGTTTCGCGGGAAATCGCAATTGAAAGTGGGGGTGCTGGCTTAACGTAAGCTAGCACCTCCTTCGTTAAAATTACATATAAAATAAAAAACTCAATATGCTAGAATTATGTGCTCTTTATGTGCTTTTAAATGCCTTAAACAAAATTAGTCTATCTATAATAGTTTAAAAGATATACGTAAAAAAAGATCTACATACTACTGATATAAGATTAAAGTATCAGTTAAAATGCAGAAAACGAAATAATTATTGTCTTAAAATGTTTTTCGATTAATGTGTTCTCGAAATATGCACAATGAGATTTCCGTGCTCATCCCCTTGAGCCAACCAGAACGTTAGCACCCCATACGTACAAGAGTAAAGTACCAGTTAAAATATAGATAGCGAATTGGTTCTAGTCTTAAAATGTTCCTTAATTTATGTGCTTTCAAAA